ACCCGGACCACGCCCGACGCGTATCATCTACCGATGACCCGTGATCTATAAAGGAGGCCTAGTCCGGCTACTCAACTGACTCTGCATTTCAGATGATCTCTTACAAAAAGAATCTACAGCGTCTCAGAGTCGGCAAAATTTTAAATAGTAATGTCCTAATCCTGATAATAGATTTCATTACGTTAGGATTTAATTCGTTAGATTCGGATGTGCATATCAATGACGTTTCTTATAGAATCCAATAAGATTTGAGGGTCTTTACAGTTAAATGTCATTTTTGGGTGAAAAACATAGAACGGGGTGAGGATCTTTTGCAGTGAGAGGTCATTTTCGAGTAAGAACTTTGAGAAATATGAGGACCTTTGCAGAGAGTGTTCATTCGGGATCAAAACATTGAGAGATGTGATTAGTTGTTATTTTCGGGTCAGAAACATAGAGAGAAAAGAAAATTATTTACTATAAAAGAAGATATGGTTTTGTAATAACTCCATTATTTTACATTGTAGATAATATGGTTCGTCGTGTCGAACAGAAAGATCATATTATCTGTTCCTTGTAAAATATAAATTAACTGTTCACAGTTTAGACAGACAGTGAGACCTCTGCTGGAAAAATATTGTAGGGTAGTCTTGATTCAGTTGATCTTTAACTGATGAATTACACTAGTACTTATGATAAGTATTGAATGGACCGCGGAAGGATAAGATTAATAAGATTTACAGATCTTGGTTATAATCCAGACCTTCAGTAATTGATGCGTACTCTCAAGCTGTAAGATAATATAAATTCATTACTTATTTATTTGATTTACCATGGGTGTTTCCTATTCTGTTAGGATGATATACTCGGTATTTTGGTAAGTAAGAGTGTTTATATGATATCCTGTTATAAATTATTCACAGTCACTATGTCCCAGTGCGCTGGGTTGATGACATCCCCGAAATGAGTTTAGGAAGGAATATTACTCAAACCCTGCAGGTGGATAATTATCTAACATAATGATTAATGAACTGAGTGGTACTAATTTCAAAAATGAAAGAAGTCAATTAAATTAATTGTCAGTAATTAAATTAACTGATGAACGTTATATCTTAAACATAAGCAGATAAATCGATCAATTAGATTAATATTTA